CAAACAAATTGCCAAGCTCAGCGAACAGGCGAAATGGAATATTTTATTACTGTTTAGTATTCTTTCAGTACACACGTGAGCATCAGTTTTGTCACATGATAGGGACGGATGAGAATGAAAATGATTTGTCATGCAAATAGACTGTTTACAATGAAAATCTATTCCTCGTTCTCTGTATAACAAAACAGATACGAATTCTTTGCATGATTTCCAACACTAGCGTTTTTGCAGGTAAGCGACGAAAAGTGGTCTCTCTCCCTCGCATCTCGTACTAAACGTTAAATCTCCATATCAAACACTTCTTCCACAATGTAATGTATAACCCTTTCGTAGACTTATAAAACGCATCAAACCAAATATCGCCCTAGCACAGTCGAGGCCAAGATGACGGATATTTCATGTCCAACGAACGGGGTGCGCAATCAGTGCACAATTGACTACGGGAAAGTAAATTTTCCAAGTTGTTTGGCGTTAGTGGTAGGTTATCAATATGTCAATAGATCCCTATCTTTTTCACTAATTAAAGTTGATCATTTTGTGTGCTGACTCACTATAAAAAACACAAACCAGATTTGCGTCATTTTGTATTAGGGTGCAGCAAGTCCCTGAGGCCAAGTCTGGATAGCTCAAGTGATTGGGGATCTGGTTTACGGCTCTATGATCCGGGGGCTCCAAACCCTCCACTGACAAGCTCCAACAAGAGTAAGAAGATTGTACAGTGCTTCCGAGGTTTGTCGCTAGTGAATGACACTCTGAGTGTCCATCGCGAATACATCGTTTCAAGCAAAACAACCGATCGGAAGAAACCACTACTCGTTCAAGCCCAGGGTTGAGTTCAGAAGATGGCAACGACAATATAGGCTCGAACATGGACTTTAAAATGTAAGTTTTGACTCCATCCGTACTCTAAGGTATAATGGCTATAATTAGCGAAGGGAGAAGTATGTTCTTACGCAGGGCTACTTTCATTTCCCTGCGACAAGCTTGAAATTATCTGACATGGAATGGCCTTAGCCGAACAAAAGGATGTTACCAATAAAAGCATCTGTAAAAGGGACCAAACTACAGTGTGGTGGCGGTCCCTGCATAGACAAAAGATAGAGATCTAGCTAAACAAGTAGTATTAGGAGGTTTGATGATTCTGGTGAAATCTACGCTAGAGAAGGTAAAGAGCACAGGAGCAAGGCAGATATCTCACACTTCAGACATATATGCGGATTCGGCAAACATCATATGGCGGTAATTCTGAAGCATGTGACACCATCGGTTTTAGAGCACTACACGTGTTTTCAGGGGCCGTGACGCTTTCACAAGAAAGTGGGTGCAGTCATATAATCGAATCTGCGTGAAACGGATAATCAATGCTATTTGGTATTCACGTATGTGTGTGTGTGTGAGAGAGAGAGAGAGAGCATTCGTCAGCGTGGTCTCTGCAGTAAATGCACTTGTCTTAATTTGGAACCATACATCCATCAGTCGGTCAGCTCAGTTAGAAAAAAAATTACAGTCTGAATGTGCATCTAGCATGGCGGTAGAGGACGAAAAATCCATGTGTTCATATTATGCTAAATAGACTGGCATGAATCCAAATCAATTTTCACATCTGTACACATGAATGGAGAGATAGTGGGGTATGGATTCATATAATGAGGTCGCTTTTGGTCATTGTGCGACTGGAATCCCACGATCGATCACAGACAGATTTAGAGATTGTAATTTATCAGCATTACGTAAATATGATACTGGTCAAGACCTCAGGCTTTAGTTTGTCATCTTACTACTCGATTGTATCGAAGTTCTTGGATACAATGAGTAAGTATTGGTTTGGACAAACTCTCTCGCTTAGTAGTTGTGTAAGCTGTCGGTAATTTGCCATATATTAGGTGTGGTTAAATTTTCCATTTGCGAGGATCTTCCTAAGGAAATGAAATTTTTCGAATTATTCCCCAAATACCGTTAGACTGATCAACGCAACTGCCGATTCACCTTCTCCGTGATACTACTGAACTAACCAATATGTGAATTGAGGCAAATTGGAAATTTTTGGAGGAAAAAAGTAATTTTTCAGTGTAAAAATTAAATCGTATTTCCCAAACACAGCAACCTCGGTGTTTGTGGGGCGGTTTCGTCCCGTATGAAATGTACCGTCTTAATCAACAAAGTGGTTATTTCTCGGGCAACCTGTACTCGGCTCAATTGGGACGATCGGTTCCACTTCATGGACCATCTACTGGTAATCGCGTACAATGCGACCCAATAATGAGCATTTGAG